GTAACCCGGCACCGACCAGAAATAGACTCATATGCCAAGCCAAGTCCTAGGTGCTGGCTGTCTCTCCACCTCCTCAACTGCTTTCCCAGGGGACACTTCCAGACCTCAGCAGAAATGGGGACGAGAGGGCCTTTCCAGGACTGTTCCAGCAGGGACCATGCAGCCAAGGACACTCACAAAGGGGTCACCATTGGACTCAGCCCCCTTGTGCTCCCCATGTCCAGTCCCCAGTGACCCCCTCCCCTGAGATGCACAGTCATCAGGTCACCCACGGCCCACAGCTCGAAGGGGCTTCTCGTGAGACCCCAGCATACTAGCAGCACTCGAGGGCAGAGAAGCAGCCAAAAGGGAGGGAGGCTTCCAAGTCACCCCCCCCCTGCCCCAATGTGATACACTGGAGTGATTTTAAAACTATGCAGCAAAACCACCGAGGAGGTGAAAGGTAGATTGTTCCCAGCCCCTGCTGCTCCCAGGGGAGGACTTTATAGTGTGGCCCTGGCAGTCAGGATGGAGAAAAGGGCGCTTGAAAAGCGTGAGAACCACCAGCAGCACTCACGCCTGGAGTCAGCCTTCCTGCTAGAAGCCAAGAGAATCATTAAGGTTTTCAACCACAGCCCAGAAGCAAAGGGCGCCCGAGAGAGCCACCTCCTGATGTTCCCACGTTTCCACAGATCCCCAGGGAGCCAGGAGGGGCGGAAGGAGCCAGAACTACTAGCGGGGAACTGGGCTTACTTAGGTTTACCCCCAAATGTGACACTCAGGAGGAGCAGTACCTTCCTCCTTGCAGTCCAGCGTCATTACAAGGACTCGTCAGACAAGCGCAAAGTCAAGGTGGTTCTGTTTCTTGCAAAAGTGGCAATGTCATAAACGCCAAGGAAATGCTGTGGGCAGGTTTCAGATGAAGGGATCGAAGAGACAACAGGAGTGATGACTACATGGAGTACGTCCCTCTAGACTGGACCCTGTGCTGTGCAGTAGGGCGTTAGATCAAGTGACAAAATTGTGGTCAGACAGTCAAGGATGTGAAAGTGTTTTATGGATGCAAGTTGGTGACACTGACAACTGCACTGAGGTGGTGTGAGAGAAAATCTCTGTGCCTGAGAAATATTCACAGACTAACTAGGGTGGAGGACCTAGAGAAACACTCCCTGGAGAGCTGAGAGTAGAGGGCTATGATGTACAGAACTTACCCTTGAAAGTTTCAGGAATAAATCATACACACATGGCAAAGAGGCGTGCAGGGCACCGGAGCGCCTTACATTACCTGCATTTTACAACATATGTAAATTTCAATTTAAGTCCCATCGCTTCTTGGCCTTTCGGCTAAGATCAAGTGTGTATTTAAGTCCAAGTAGAACACGTGTTTTAAATTTGACCTTTGAGTTCCTGGGTCAGCCCTAAAGCATTGTCCGGCAGTGAGGTGTGATTGGGTAGAGACAGAGACCAGCGAGGGGCGGAGGAGCCCGACTCCTCAAGTTCCCCTGTGTTCTGGAGGCGCCTGAGCAGCAGGGAGAAACTGAGGTCTGGGGGAGTTCGCAGGGGAGCAGGAGGGAGGAACGGTCAAGCCCAACACCACCCAGTGAACAGACCCCCACAGGCTTTTAAAAGAAGTTAAAGAAAGAGAAGAAAGATGGGGGTGGGGCTATGGGGAGGTAAAATCAGAACTGAACTGGAGGACGCTGCAAGGTAATTTCAACCAGGGTGGACGGAGGGTTGGGGTGGCGAAGGAGGGAGACCCTCACCCTCAGCTGCAGCCCCATCCTCATGCTGGTCTCCTCATGACCGCTGCCCTGATTTGGGGCCCCCTGCCCTGCAGCTCTGAGGGACAGCTCACAGGGGGCGCCTACTCTGCGCTCAGGGGTAGGTAGGTGCCCTCTTTACACTTCCGGTGTGGTCAGAGCTGTGCTTTGGGAGTTGGAAGGTGTCCTCGGCAGCCCCAGGGCCACAGAGGTCACCTGGGCAGCTGCAGGGGCCACAGATCAGATGAAGGCTGAAGCCAGAGGAGCCTCCACCCCAGAGATACCCCGGCCTCCTGGCTGGGGAGGGAGCCTGGGATCAGGAGGCTTGGTGCAAACCCCACCACAGCCTTCCTGGGTCCGCCGCACGCCCCACCCAGTTTCCTTTCCTGAAATCTGGCCCACGGCTGTCCCTAACTGGCCTCTGGCAGTGGGGAGGGTGAAATCAGAGCTCACTCTCCTGCCCCTTGATTAGCGCTCCCTAGCCTGACCCTGTCGCCCTTCTGTGTCCAATTCACGGTTTTCCTTTCAGTCCCTGCCAAGAGTGGCCGGACTCACAGGCACCCGGCAGAACCAAGGCTGCGATCAACTGGAGGCTTCCCCGGGACAAGTAAACAGCTCCTGGCCACTTCATGGGCGCGCTTTCCGGGACTGATGTGAGGACCCCGACTCTGCATCCCAGGGGCCGGGGGCGGGCGAGGGGGCGTACAGTCCTAAGTGCGTTCCGGCTGCGTCCCACAGCCAAGCTTCCCTCCAGTCCGAACCCCAGCCGCAGAGGATTTCCTGTGAGCGTTTCCTCTCACAGGCGGCCCGCGCTCCCGGCAGCCCGCAGACAGTGCAACAGCGCCATCTAGTGGCCGGGTGGGGCTGCTGCCACCAGAATCTTCCTGGGAAAATCCCCCACAGCGTGGTAACGGGGCCTTCATCACAGCGTCCCAAACAGCAGGCTGGCTGTCACTGCCACCACCGTAGTAGGAGAAGTAAAACCAGAACATTTGGCTCGGTCAAAAGATCCTAAAAGAAGGTCCTAAAGGAATCGCTGCAGCGAGATTTCCCAGGCTTCGGGACCCCTGTCTACCCCGGGGCGGGCCAGCAAGGCAGTCAAGGAATGGCTTCCTCTCACGGGAGGTGAAGACTGTATCCCAGGGGCTGGAGCAGACCTCCGGAGCGCAGTCCAAGGAAACGGTGCCAACCTTCAACCTCCGCAGTATCTGGGCGGGGCCTGGGAATCTGCATTTCCCTCGGGCTCCCTGCTGATACTGATGTTGGTGCGGGGCCACCCTCTGAAATCCAGGCTCAGCCATCGCCATCCTTGCCCTGAGTTGCTTCTCCCTGTACCTCTGCAGTGCTCTCGAATCAGCGCTGATCTTGCCGGGCTCTGACAGTAGAGCTCCAGGGCCCGGGCCTGCGCCCTTTCTAGGAAAAGCAGGGGACATCAAGACCGAGCGGCGCTCGTCCCGCCCCACACTCCAGCAGACGACCCATCCCTGGCCACATCTCCACACGGGACTGGGTTTTCAGCCGGCCTGGAAGGCTTGCTTTGGGGCGTTTTACTGCAGAGGTTTACCAAGGCAGGGAGAAGCCTCTCCTAGTGCAATCAGCGTGATTCCAAGGGAGGGCCCTTTTCTCAGCTCGCTGCCTTGCGTCTGTCCTGGCGTGTGTTCACCTTTGTACCAGCACGGTAGAAAACTATAATTTTTAATATTTTGTGGGCAGGAAGGGACCCCTGAAAACAAGAATCCCTGGGACTCACAAATTTATAGGCAGAATCGGGTCACCTGCAAGGCCTGTATACATTTAGCCCTCTGTGACTCCACATTACAAAAGAAAGCATAAATGGAGAAAACGAATACATCAGTCTGGACTTTCGCCTTCAGTCAACAACGTGACGGAAAACCAAGTCAAACTAACAAAGGCAAGAGAAGACTTTTAACTCTACAGGCAGAGCTGGCCTCAGGCGGCTGGACTGGGGACCTGGAGTCTCCCCAGCCCTCAGCTCCCTTCCATTTTCTCGCTCCCCCATGGCCACAGGATGGCAGCTACCTCCGCGCGCTCACTTCCCAGGCACCTGGACCAGTCAGTCGGGACAGCCGCACACACTGAGCCACTCCTGTTCAGGGAATCCTGGTTCTGACTGCTCGGACCTGCTCACCAGCCCCCTAAAGCCACGTGAGGAGATGGGGCATCGTCCTCAGAAGGCACCAGTGTGCCTGGGAGAGCTGGCTGCACGAGCTGGACCTCAGAAAGCCAGGAGCGTTGACCTCGGGCTGTGACTCATAAGAGGCACCCTGTGCCCCAGAGGATCCTGGGTACCTTTGTGCCCAGCCACAGTTTGGCCCAACTAGGGGGAGGCCCCGTGGGCCAGGAGAGCAGCTCCATCCTTCCCACTGTGAGCAGAGGCCCCGGTCCATGGGGACCTCGTTGACCCTTCCCTCCCTCTCGCCTAGCCCGGTGACATCCGTCTTCCTCCCTGTGAGCCAAAGCCGCCGTGAACTGGGGTCCCTGGGATCCTAGGCACAGGCCTCGCCCACCCCAGGCAATCCTGCATGCAGAACACGGTCCCCACTTCTTAACTGGAGACAGACGGGTCCCCACGTACTCTGGTTGCCGCTGCTAAGGAGAGACCAAAAGGGAAGTTGAGGCTGAACTGACCGCACAAAACAAGAGCAAGTCCAGGCCACACTGGACGGTGAGACAGGCTAAGTCCACAGTCTCTGCTTTCCGACTCTCTCCCCGTCTGGGGGCTGCCAGAGGTGTCAGAGGTGCTGACAGGGAGGGAGAAGCTGAGGACAGAAGGGACCCCAGCTGCATCTACCCCCAGCTGAGGGCCCACATTTCACAGCGGTGAAGGGAGGCCGGAGGCATTTTAGTGGATCAGTGAGAGTATATATTTCCGTATTTCCAAGTCGCTAAGGTTAATGAAAAAAAAGGAAATTTGGGATCTGCACTCCTGGACTCAAAATGAAATTAAGCATTTTTACCTTAAAAATAGAAAACCCCCTAGTCTCCTCCAAGAATAAGCTAAGTCCCCCTGTATTATCTGTCACTGAGATGTGGGGAAGGGGAGCACGAACACAGCTTCATATTAAACTAATCAGTTCCCATCAGGGCCAGTTCGTGGGCAGGGGTGAGAAATCTGACGCCACAGCGCCCCACCCCGGGAGGGGGGGCGCCGCACATTTGGCCTGTGCGAGGCTGCCACCGTGTGGCCGCCGCGGGTATCGCTCTCGGAAAACGGCCCTCGAGCGAGCGCGTGCGCGGTTTGGTTTGCCCGATTCTAGGGCGGCGGGCGTTTCCTGCCACCAGCCGGAAAGGGGCGGCAGGACCGTGGGAAGTCGGGCTCTAAAGTTGCCGTGGGGTTTGAGTCTTCTCCGGGGCGCCTCCCTGTTGTGCTGTAAGCTGCCAATAAGACAAACAGCAATTTCCCCTCCAAAGAGGATGTTTCCTTACCTGTCCGGGCGCGGGAGGGCAGGGGTAGGGCGCATGCGCGCTGGACCCTGAGCCTGCGCCCCGCGGGGTGGGTGAGCGGCTGCTCAGGGGTCCTTTGTGACGTCCTCGGGCTGAGCTCTAGGCCCGAGAGCTGCTACGGAGCGGGAACGGGACCCCGCGCACCTGGAGGGGCGAGGGAAGGAGTTGCCCGGAGTCCGCTCCGCACTGCTGTGTTCGGGGTGCAGCCCGGCCTTGTGGGGGTCAAGGAAGGCACACTTGTGGGTGCTTCCGGCTGGGCCCTGGAGGCGTGACGTGAGGTCCTGCAGGCCCCCTCCTCCCTGGAATGGTCCACCTGCTCTGATCCGCCTGGCGAGAAGCTTTGCACCTCCACACCTTCCGCCTGCTGTTGCTGCCTCCGGCCCAGCCAGCTGGGGCCTAAACCCTGCACCAGTTAAAACTCTCCCCCTCTAACCCTCGAGCAGCAGGCGGTTTGTTCCAGCAAAGGGGAGAAGATAAACACAAGAGGTCATGGAGCTCACACTTAGGTAGGTTCAGGGGCCTGGTGGGGGCGCCGGCCCAGCTCTGGTGAGGGCCGGGTGGGCTGCACCTGTATCCAGGCGGGAGGTGTGGGAGGGAGAACTCACATTTCCTCTGGTCTCTCTCCCTCCTCTTCTGCAGCCACCAGGATCTGCCCTGGGCGCTCTGCCTTAGCGAAGCCTGATCACGCCCTGAAGGCCTCACCTCTGCATGGCGTAGTTGTTCAGTTTCCACGCTATGAGGATTTAATGTAAACCCATGAAACCTGGTGGGCCCAACACCGTATCCAAACCATCACACCCCTCTCTTCACTTAGCCGGGAGGACCCGCAAGTACCCAGAAACTAAGTGGCCACCCCAGGCCCCACAGAAACCAGTGCCCCAGCTCTTCCCTTTCCTAGGACGCAAGTCTACATTAACCTTCCCACCCCTAAAGAACAGCAGGTCCAACAGTGGCGTTTCAAGCTTTACATCAGCCCAGGGACAGAGATGTGGTGGCCTACACCTCACTGCCTGCACCACACACCCCGTACAGGAGGCTTGCCTGCGGGCTTGCTGTGACAACAGTATGGAGACATAACTGGGGACAGACAGGATGAGCTCAGCGGAGCTGCAGCGTTGGGGTGAAAACTCGTCTGGCCCTGTACTCACCGTGGAGAAACGAGTTTCTGCCAGGGAAGACAAGGGAGATGTTACTTAGTGGTTTTGATGTCTCAAAAGCCAGGTTCGTGTGGAGACTGGAGAAGGAAAGATAAAGATTCCCAAACAGGTTTGAGGGCTCCAGAGGAGGGAGGTCCCACTGTCAGCCTGGAGTTCTCAGAGAAGGAAAGGCCCCTGCTTTGGTTTGGCTCTGAAATGTCCCCAAAAGTTTCATATTTGGAGGGTGACTGAATGGTGGGGATCCATCCACTGCTGAGTTCATGACTGAATGTGCTGCACAGAGCTGGTTCGCTGGGCATGTGACCTGGGAGGATACATTCTTTCCTGGACTCTCATTTCCCTCTGTTTCCTAGATGTCCTGAGCTGAGCACCTTTTCTCTACCATGCCCTTGTACCATGCCATTTCTGCCTTAGAGTCACCCAGCCATGGATTACAACCATGAATGAAAATAAAACTCTCCATTAAGTTTTGGGTTTTGGTTATTTTGTCCCAGCAAAGAGAAAGTGACAAAAGACAGCCCCAAAGAATGGCCTGAGTCCCAGATCTTGGAAGTATTCTTGGACCCACTATCTAAGGGTGTCAGGAACAGTCTCAAACCAAATCTACACCATCCCAGAAAGTGTGGGGCAAATGGTCACACATGACCAGGAACGTAGAGGACATGGGGTGAGAGAGCACCTATAAACCCACATGTCAGTTCTTGATTAGGATCAGCCAAAGCATCAGCAGGTGGCAGCAGGGACTCCAGAGCAGGAGTCCAAATAGGGAAGGCCACCAGCTCAGTGCTGTTGCCAACACAGAGCAGAGACCATGGCAGAAAACGTTACATGTTAACTGGGCCAAGAGCAGATGTACCTACATCACCAAGCTTCCCATATTTAGAATTGACCCCAGGAAGGAAAAAAGTGAGAGGTTTTATTCCCATAACAGGCAAGGCCTACAGCAATTGGGTCTGTGGAGTGACTGGCCCCGTGCCACCTGTCAAAAAGCACCAGGACAAGCACTTTGGACACAGTGTGTCTCCTGCTAAGCTGGTCCCATAAGAGAGACAATAGAAAGACACTCTCTCCAAGGCTCACCCCCTGGCCATCCCCAGGGCAGAGGAACTCTGAATGTTACCATGCACCCACGACCACATGAAGGATGGGGCTGGGGATGAAGGCGAGGAGAACCCTGCCCAGGATTGGGCTCAGATGTAATCCATGTTCGCAGGGTTAGGGAATGCAACTCCCAAGTCACGCTGGCCTCCCCAGCTCAGGCAGCCATGTGAAAGTGCTGGATCTCCAAAGTCAGCCTCTCCAACCTGGGCTCTTGACCACAGCAAAAATGGGTCAGAGGAAAATCAGCACGCATATGTGAAATCTGTTCCCTGATGCTCAATGTCTAAAGCCTTGCAGAAGAAGGCAGGTCAACATATTCTGGCCAGAAATCTCTGAAGAGAGAAAGAGATCATCAGGTCAAGGACAAGCCCCTGAGTTTGGGTGTCTGATGTCAAAAGCCCATGGCCCATTCTTCACACTTGCTGCAATGGCAGGGCGAGAGGTGTTCGGGACACCAAGAGTTTCCTGGGAAACCTCCAGCAGCACCAATTTCAGATCCAAAAGGCATCTTAGGAAGAACCAAAGGCTTCTAAAAAGCATGACACAATTTTTCTTAGACTTCTCAAACCATTAGTAGATAATGTATGGAACTTCTTGTTGTTGTTGTTGTTGTTTTGTTTGTTTTTTTTGGGGGGGGTCCTGAGGATTGAACTCGGGTCGTTGTGCTTATGAGGCAGGCAGTGGAACCACTGAGCTAAATCCCTGGCCCGGAACTTTATTTTTTAATACGGTAACTCTAGGAAAGTGAACTAGCTCAAAATGCAAACATTTGATATCGTTTCCTGAAAAAAAAATGGAGATTTAAAAAATCAGGGACCCCCCCACACTGAGGTTTCCACAAGTAGACAACCCGTGGAACTGACCCATTCCTCATATGGTGAGGGCTTTGTTTTCAACGGCTTTCCTGGAACAAAGTGCAGTTGGCCTTAGTATTCTTGGGTAGCTCATCACAGGATTCAACCAACCCCGGGTAGGATCCTACCTAGGATGGCTGCCTCTGTGCTGAACAGGTACAGGCTTTTTGTCACTATTCCCTGAATGATACTGCGGTGTTTTCATTATATCAGGTATTATAAGTCATCTAGAGGTGATTTAAGTATACAGCAGGATGTGCATAGGTTGTATACAAACTCTACACCATTTTATATATGTGACTTGAGCATCTGTCCAAGGTTTCTGTATCCACAGGGCCCTGGAGCCAATCCCCAGAGGATTCTTAGGGATAGTTGTACCCAGCTCTGGGACAGCCTAAAACCCACTATGATCATTAACCTCTATGTGTCACTTTTATTCCATTAAGAAATGCCTAGAAGAATAGGAACACACACTCCTGGAGGCCCTTGGTGGTCGTGTAGGTGTGACCTCGGGCACCATATGAGACCCCTAGCTCACGCTTCCCTGGCATGATCCCTGTTCTGTTTCCCAGCCACCTTAAACTGAGCAGCTTTGCCCTGTGATGCCTATCACGATACTTCGGCCTTGCCGCCTGCCAACCATGGGCTGAATCCTCCGAACTCTAAGCAAATTAAAATTCTCTTCCTTTTAGCTGTAGGCCTTGGGTATTATGCCTCCGTAATGAGAAAGCTACTACAGAAAACTGGTAACTGGAGTGATGCTGCTACTGTGACGATCTGACCGTGAGGTTTCGAAGCCTTTGGAACTGGCTTGCTGGAGACGTTTGGGGAGGTTTGGAGACACCAGCTAGAGAAGTCATAGAAGGCTGACGAGTGAATCTGCTTAGACCTCAAAAGACCCAAATGCTGATAGTAATGTAGACAAAAAAATCTAGGCTCAAGGGATTTGAGCTCAGAACAAAGATTCCACTGGCATTTGAACTAGAGGCCATGTTTTTAAGAAAATGTGTCCACATTTTACCCTTGTCCTGAGACTATGTGGAAGACTGAGATTAAGGAAAGTGAATTAATCTGGAAAGGAAATTTCAAAACATATGCTGTGGCATGGGTAATCCTAGCTGTTTTTACCTAGATATATAATGAGAACTGAGAACAAAAGGCAGAGCAAAAAAAATAATAATAATAACTTTGATTATGGCTCAGGAGAAACCATGTGTAAAATTGGAATCAAATGGCTGCTAAAGAGATTAGTGTCATCAGAAAGAAACAAAGTACTTTGTATAGAAGAAGAAGAAAGATGCTTTGAGGGCATCTCAGGAATGAGTAAGATCTTACCCACTGCAGACTCAAGGTTAGAAGTGTCAACTTTTTTTTTAAAATAAGAGATTCCCAGGGACCCCTACTCAAGAAAGGCTTCCTGGGGAATCAGTTCCTCAGGACTCATTTCACAAGGCTCAGTTATCCACGAACTCAGAGGCCAATGAAACCATGGTCCAGGGGTCCTGACTACTGCCTGGGCTGGTGGCAGACCTTGGTGTCATCAGAGTGATTCTGGTTTTATTGGCATGTAGAATGCAAGAGTTCTGGGAGCCAGGAAGGCTTCTACCAGATGTCAAAAGAAGGCATAAGAGGCCAGGTAATGAGGCTCTGAGAAAGCAGTGCCTAAAACTGTGGGAATGAAAGTGCAATAGAGCTCCCAGGAAAATGGAGATGCCAAGAAGTTGGAATATCTACCAAGGAAAGCCGCAGAACCTGTGTGGAGCCAGCCCAAGAGGGAGGCCAGGAGGTATTTTGCAACCAGAAAGCTCACAAAGCCATAGGAGTGGAGTGGCCCAAGCTCTATAGAATGCACAACTTACCGCCATGTACCCCAGATGCCAGCTACAGGACATAATCTTGCCTTAATAGTGTTTGGTCTTACTTTGGTTTAATTTTTTCCTATCCCCCTAATCTTCCTTTATTTTTATTTTTTGTTTTGTTTTGTTTTGGTACCAGGTGTCGAACTCAGGTCCTTAATCTCCCTTTTTTGAATGAGAGTGCTTATGATGTGCCATTGTACATTGAGATTTTGCATTTTTATTTTATAGAGGTTCACAAATAAGAGTTTGCCTTAAGTCTCAAGTGAGACTTGAGGGCCAGGGAGTTAGCTCAGTGGTGCCACGCCTGCCTGGCAAGTGCAATGTCCTGAGTTTAATCCCTGGTACCAAAAAACAAAAAGCATCAAATGAGACTTGAAATTGGACATTTGAAAACACTGAAACTGCTGAGACTTTGGAGAGGGGATTATTGCATTTTTGAATATATACAGGACATTGTATTATATTAGGCAGAATGACAGACGATATTTTCTTTATTTTGAGATTAAGTATGATTTAAGTGTTTAAGTGGGGAGTTGAAAAGTGGTGGATGATGATCACTGATTCTGATATCTCAATTTCAATGAACTAAGAACACCTAGAAAATTAGTAAAGCACAGTCCTGGGTGTGTCTGGGTGGGTCCTGGAGCGTGACCTTGGGTACTATATACAGTCCCTAGTGATGTCCCCTTGCTCTGCTTGCCAGCTGCCAGGAACTGAACTGTTTTTGCTCTTCTATGCACTTCTGCCATATTTTTGGTTTAGAAAAAGCTGATCATGGACTGAATCCCCTGAGCCATGAGCCAAATTAAAATTCTCTTTGTGGGTGTCAGGTATTATGTTCCAGCAATAGAAAAACTGACTGATACATACCCACACCCTGAAAGAAGGCCATACATGGCAGTGGATTCCATGACCTCTGCCAGACTTGAGTTCTTAATGTAAGCCAACCACAGATTCTCCACAGCTGTCTGTCCCACCTGAGTGCAGGCTGTAACAGCCCAGCACAGCGTGACTTTCACAGGGCATGGGCCTCATGATACCAAGGGACAGCCTTTGTCTCAGTAATGACTTCTTCATGGAATTTTCTATATTCATTTTGGAGTCAAATAGCCTTCTCCCCAATTACAACTTTTAGATGAAAAGGACATGCACTTACTCAATAATAAAAGATAATTCAATTACAAAGTGGACAAATGATCTAAATAGATATATCTCCAAAGAGGAAATAATATTCCTTGCAAAGGTGCTTGATATCATTAGTGATCAGAGAAATGCACATCAAAACCACAATGAAGGCCAGGGATTTAGCTCCGTAGTTCTGCCATGTGCCTTGCAAGTGCAACATACTGAGTTCGATCCCCAGTACCAAAAACAACAACAGCAACAACAGTGAGATACCTTTTCACACCCCCCAGGATGGTGTTGCTACCAAAACAACAGGCAGAACCCTCAAACAGGTGTAGACATAAACTGGTGTGATGTAAAATGGGGTTTCTCATTTGTAAAATATTTGGCAATTCCACAAAATGGTAAATCAAGTTTTTGTATGATTCAGAAATTCCATTCCTGGCCATATATCCAAGAGAGATGAAAATATATTTTCACAGAAACTTGTATGTGAATGTTCATAGAAGCATTATTGATGAGGGTCATTTCTCAATGTTAATAATATTCTTGATATTATTATTCTGTGCAATGCTAGACTCAATCCAAAAATCCATCACTTACTTGGCAAATGGACAAACAAAATGCAGTACTATATATCCAATATTATTCATCCAGAAAAAAGAAAGAATGAGGTGCTGATAGCTGATACAACATCGATGAACTTTTAAGAATCCTATGCTAAGGGCATAAATCCAGCCGCCAAGGGACACGTACTGATTCCACTTTTATCACATGCTCAGAATGGGCAAAACCTTAGAAAAAGAGTAGATGAGGTGCTATCTGTGGTGAATGAAAAGAAACAGACTTAATGGGAACAGGATTCCTTTTGGAGAGCTGATTGCTGTAATGGTTGTAGAACGTATGTCTCCAACTCTCCACCCATCTACCCATCCATCCATCCTTCCTTCCTTCCTTCCATCTGTTGTGTCAGATGGAGAGTTGAGACATATTTTTAATATGTGAACATATTAAAAATCACTGAAATTTAATTTAAATGAGTGAATTTTATACACTGTAAATTACATCTTAACAAAGCTGTTCAAAAGTAATAGGCAAGGACATAGACTGAAAAATAAACAGAACTGTTTCATAAACTGCCATGACCTGCATGGCACAGGGTCCGAGGCCCGGAGAGTGGAGGGAGATGAAAACACCAACATTATGCTGGAAAGCTGGGACCAGGTAGAACCAACCATAGCCTTTCAGGAGCTAACAGCTTCCTGGAGTCCAGTGCACTTTATTTATAGTATAAGACAAACAGGAAGAGAAAGCAGGGTAACTAGTGCTACGTGGCCTAGGCTGAACATAGCATGATTGTCTTGTGATCAGGGCATGAACAGAAAGGAACAAGGGGATAGGTAATGCGTATGCTCCGTCTCCTGGGGCTGTGGCATCCAGGGACTAAAACCTTAGTTTATGGGAGAGCAAGGAAGTCGGGAGGAGATGAAGGGCTATCTTCAGACTCAGCCCGCAGCATTGAACAAACACACTACACACAAACACAAGCATGGTGAACAGTCCCTGCTCCCGCTGCACAGCAGGGAACATGTACCCAGCCTCGTGTTAACATCAATGTGCCTGAGCTGGGAAGGGGCCACTCTGAGATCCAAAGAATTCCCTTCTAGCCCTGTGGTTGGCTTATATGTCCTTACATGAAGATAGCAACACATCAGGTTTTCTCCCGAGATGATTCCTTTATTGAAGAAAAACTTCATCAAACCCCTGAGACATTTCTATCGGGTTGTTTTCATGTAAGCACAATGCACCAACCATTCACTGCAAATAGGACAATGTTCGCAGCCCGTGTATCACTCCTAAAAGGCGGTTTCTGTGTCACGGCACTCATGGCTGCAGACTCAAGTCCACTTCTGTGCTCTGAGCCATCTCACAGAGAAGCAGAGCAGGCTTGGTGATGTCCCCGTATGGAGTTCTAAATTCTACTTCTATTCCGTTGGATGCTTCCCTCTTTGTATGGACTTAAGAGAGATAAAACCCCAGTGGACACTCCAGAAGAAATCCCTCCAGGAAGAAGACTTTGCTTGGGACAGAAATCTTGTCCCACTTCTCATCTGTGCCAAGAACAGAGCTTGTCCCTAAGAAAGCATGGACAATATCGTGTGATGGAAGGAAGGAAGGATGGACGGATGGATGGAGAGTTGGAGACATAAATCAGTGGGAATACATGTAGATGGGTGACAAATAGTCGAGGAGATAGAGGATGGAAGGGAAAGATGAAGGGAGATGGATAGATAGACAGATGCGTGGATAGATGGACGGGCACCTGGATGCTTGGATAAATTCTTAAGTAACATAGTCCCACCATGTGTCCTTGGCCTTTCTGGGAACAGCAGGGACATCCCAGAACTCGGTGCTGCTGCTGGCGGTCTTGCCGTTCCCAGGCTTGCAACTTCTGGAAGGTTCATTACATCTCTCAAGAGATTCAGTCCTGGTGTACTGAGCTGTGCCCAGTAGCTGCGCCACTCTGACACACTGACACCAGGGACACGTGGAAATCAGGCAGACCAAAGGCTGACCTAGGGGGGACTCGTGCAGCTACAGTGAGGTGTAATTATGGCTCAACCATGAGAGGAGGAGGGGAGGAGGTAGTCAGGAGACCAAGTATACAAGTAGGGGTGAGCCTGCATAATGTGTGTGTAAGAGCACACGCCCAAGGCAGCGAGTGGCACAGTCACATACACAGGCCCTGAATGAAAAGACCAGAGGTCCTCAAACCAAGTGAACAGGACACAGAAGGGAAGGAGCGAGCCAGAAGGACTCACAGAGACAGCCCCTGGGTTCTCAAAGGCCACCATAAGCCACAGAGGGGTTTGGGGATCCTCAGTGATATGGTCAGAGCTGCATGCACCAAGTAGGGGCCGGAACTTAGACTGTCAACCTCAGGAGGGCCGAGCAGCTTTCTCTGGTGAAAGTCGTACTACACAGCTACAACCGGGACTAACATAGAGGAACCAGTGCCCGGCCCCACAAAAGGCCTTGCTTGTGGGGAGCTGTGTGTGCCAGGCCTGGGGGTACATCCAAGCTGGGCTCTGCATCCCCAGTGCAGCCAATCAGAAGTCCTCTAAGCCCTGAGAAATGTGGGGAGGGGGGAAGCGAAGGCACACTGGGTCAGGCTGTGCTTTTAGTTGCTTTTACCACCACAGCCTTTCCATAGGGCAGAAGGGCCCTTCATCCAGATTTCCACCCACAGGTTCCCATCTAAAGCAGTGAGGACAGAAGCCACCATAACCCACCTGAGTCCTGTACACAGGGTCCATAGGAGGCAAGGCCTAAGGTGGGCACCATTCCAGCCCCAACCCCACCCCCAGGGAGCCCCAGAGTGACCGAAGCGTCCCCAGAAAAAGAACTTGTCTGCCTGGAAATTCTGGTGTTGGTGATCTCATGTCCACATCAGGGCTGACGGTGGAAAGGTTTTCTACAGCATGGGTCAGCACGGTGAGGACCCTCTCTGAGGTCACTGCACCAAGGGGGGCAGTTATTCAGGGAAACTGTCACACAGTCCCAGTGCATCTTCACACATTTATCCTGAGCAGCACAAATGTTATCAGGTTTAAAGAAAGAACTTCTGTGGAGAATGGATAAAGAAGTTGCGGGTTTTCTATGAAATGGAGTACTACTCGGCCATAAAGAATGAGAAGCTAGAGTCATTCATAGAAAAATGGATGCATATTGAGGCCATGCTCTTAAGTGAAATAAATAGGACACACATGTAAATACTGAATAATTTCTCTGGTGTGAAAAACTAAAAGTGTAAATAAGACCCAAATTGTATAATTGCTTATGTGAAATAGGAAGGAAAGGGCTAAAGGTGTAGGGGAAGTGGGAAGGGTAGGGGAAAGGAAAGAAGGGAAAAGAAAAAAATACGAGAAAAGGAAAAAATGGAAACAAAGTCTTTGCAAATGGAGGAGGGTTCAGGGGGTGAGGGAGGGCAGGGGTAAGGGGAAAAAATGAGAACCAAGACCTGTCATGCAAAGGTACAAGATCCCAATGATGAATGTGACTTTATTGTATACCTAAAATGTACCAATAAAAAAAAAAAAAAAAAAAAAAAAAAAAAAAAAAGAAGAAGAAGAAGAAGAAGAATGAACTTCTGGAATCTTCCAGAACTGCCCACAATTGGCTTGGTGGACTGGGGGGACGACACTCCCCCCTGAAGAGAGCTCACTCTTAAACCAGCACTTTCTCGGCTGTTCTAGTCCTGGAGCTAGCACCATGAGGAAGTCAAAAGTCCACAGGGCCTGAGGCCTTTGTCTCCTCCAACACCGGAGGCTCAGAGCCACAGAAGCTGGGAGTTAGGAGGTGGGAGTTGGAAGAGCTCTCACCACAGCCCCACCACCTCCACCAGGACGGCGAGCACCCCCAGCCCATGGCTTCCTTCCCTTCCAGATCCCTCAGGTCAGCAGTCTCACGGGCAGCCCGGCCTCCTCCTCTTTCGCTCCACATTCCTGATCGTTCTTATTTTCTACTTCCTCTCCAAGGCAGTGCTCCTGAAATCAGGAAAGAATCCACAGGAGTTCCAATTAAACACAGTGAGGAAGTCATCGCGGATGGGCAGGGCTGGACACTTAGCTGAAAGGACCTGGCTGGTCCCCACACTCTGTGCTGAGGTTGAAGATGAGACAGCAAGTTCGAGAACCCTGGCTGGCAGCAGGAAAACTATGTTTTGTACCTAAGATGTAAATTTACTAAACGGAATCACGGGGAGCCCAGTGCAAGGAGATCTGAGAAAGGCACGAAAAGGAAGCCATCCAGCTGTTCCTCCCTATCCCGGGCTTCCGCACCAACAAATTCAACCAAACATGAAATGAAAATATTCCCCCAGGGCTGGGGACTTAGCTCAGTGGTTCCACTGCCTGCCTCGAAAGCACAAGGTCCCAAGTTTGATCCCTGGTACAAAAACAAAAAAAGAAAATATTCCCCCAAAACACTACATCTATACTGAGTATGCAGACTTGACTTCCTGCCCTTATTCCCTAAGCAATACAGATAACAACTGCATGCATAGCATTTGCAGGGTACTAGGCATTCTGTGTGACTCAGGGATGAGTGTACAGGACGTCTGCACAGGCTCCAGGCAGATACGATACATTTGATATAAAGGACTCAAGGATCAGGGATTTAGCTCAGTGGTTCCACCTTCTGCCTCACAAGCACAAGGTCCCGATTGAGTTCAATGCCTGGTACAAAAAAAAAAGGACTCGAGCATCTGAAGATTTTGGCATCCATGGGGCCCTGGACTGGTTCCCTAAGAATGCTGAAGGATGACTATACTTTAGAAGTTGGGGAGGGTCGGGGACTTAGCTCAATGGTTCCACTGCCTGCCTCGCAAGTGCAAGGTCCCAAGTTCAAACTGTGGTACCAAAAAAAAAAAAAAAAAAAAAAAAAGTTGGGATTTTATGCTTGAGTGTTCAGATGTCCCAGACACACACCTGTGGGCAGTGCAATAGCCCAGGTACTTGTCCCTTCTTCTAAGGGCCTTCAGGGTTTCAAAGTGAGGACTCAGTTTTCCAACCTGGTGGGTGTAGCCCACCTTTCTGTTGCAAATCAAAGAGAATGAAAGCCCCCTTCCTGCCAGATGGGCAGAACTAATGTCAGACTCGATGCAGCCTTCTAAGTCAGTGCAGTCCTTTCTCAGACATTTGATGGCTTCGATATTGAATCTCTCTCCTAGAACAATCTACCGAGTGAGCAGTATTCCTGCTTGGAACCACCCTTATCTACACACTCCACCCTCTCGTGTAGGAAAGGCAGCAAGCACACCTGGGAAATTCCACACCTAGCTCACTAATGGAGAAGGCCATGGGGCACAGTAAAGACGTGTCATCCCACAACGTACAGTTAGTTGTCACATTTTAGAGTTCAAAATAAGTATTTATTCTTTACGGATGTGACACCAAAGGTTTTTTTGTATGGGCAAGGTCTGGCTTGGCTCTAGGAAAACCTACAGTCTTATAAAATGCTAAACACACAAGCGACTAAAAAATACCCTACAACTTCACTCTACACTCGCTTTGGGTCCTGCTAAAGCCTAATGCTGTATTCCACTTTCTAGCAATCTGGGCTTGATAGATGGGGAGGAATTTTTCTTGATTTTGTTCCACCTGAAAGATGCCGGTCCATAGAAGAATGTGAAATTTTAAAATTTCACCATTTCCTTAATGATGTAAGGCTGCAGTCGATTCCCATGTGTTCTCTGTTTCTTTTTGGCTTCCTTAGTTTTTCTGGCTCACAGAGAGGACCGGGAGAAGTCTAATTACGAAGTTGTTCCTCATTCCACCCCTTCTCCCCACCCATGACTTGGAGATTCTAGGCATAAACCAATGCACCCCGCTGCCACCAGCGAGAAGCCCAGAGAGAGCTGTCTAGGAAGCTGCCTTGAAGGTTCGCACTTTGGCTTCATGGAACAAGGACACGATGGCTAAGGAGACAAGAAAGTGTGGGTGACACATCTGCACTCCACAGTCTTCTCCGTTAGTGAGCTGCCCGGGTCTGGAATTTCCCAGGTGTGCTGCCCTTCCTAAGCAAGAGGCCGGGATACATAAACAGGGTGATTCTAAGGGGTGGGACAAGGGAGAGATCAGTAATACACCAGGGGTTCAGATGGATTCAAATGGATTGGAAGTTCATAGATGGACTGGAAGTGGATAGATGGCCCCAACCCCAGTCCATCTTCTTGACTTTCACTTGAACCCTGGCGACCCTGTTCTCCCGAGGACAGGAAGAGATGCCAAGAAACACAAAATGGTGGTTCCTCTCAAGAATTCATAAGATGGAACTGGGATCTGTTTTTCCAATATTCCATCACTGAATGGAATTGGTTTTCCAGGTCTTTCTCAGGCTCTACCCTGGTCATTGCTGTTTACTCATAAGAAAGTCCACGTTACCATATGTGACAGTTAAGTTTGATTGTGTCACCCGGACTGGCTTGGAAGCCACCAGGGCATGGGTGGAGCACACCTCTGGGTGCACCAGGCTAGGTCATGGAGGCACGGCCTTGGGTACTGGGTCCTCTACCTGCTTCACCAACCTGCTGCTCCCCACTCTGCTTCCTGGCTGCCAAGAACTAAGCAGTTTTACTTGGTCATGCCTTTCCACCATGATGTTCCCGCTTTACAGCCTGCTGAAACCATGAGCTAAATTAACCTCTCCCGGCTGACGAATACACCGTGTTCATGCAGCCTTCCTCCCCCTCCTGCAAAATCTTGTCCTACTGTGCACTTCCCGAGCCCACTCCCTAAAATCCTTGGAGCAGGAGGGGTAGTTCCCATCCCTAGGAGAAAAAGTACGGTTTTGCATCTGAGCTGAAGAAACACATGTGACACATTTTAAAACTAAAGAATAAATGAACTATTTTATTGTTACCTACACTGGAAAAATTTTAAGATTTTTTTTTTACAGAGATGTCTAAATAAAAAAATAGTTGATTTGGCAAAACTGACTTCTAACCATTTCAAAATGCCCAAATACTGTAGTTCTCTCTGATACACAGAGTTTTTAATGTCACACACTAGTAGTTGATACTGTATTTATTATAGATGAGTTCCGAGCTCCATCAGCCCTATTCACTACTATATCCCTAACACCTAGGAAAGTGCCTGGTATATTTCAGTACTCTATTAACAGTTACCAAGTGAGATTAACAAAGGAGTATGTGAGTGACTCAATGGTGAATGAAGTAGGTGATCCATTATCAATCTTCCACCTTCTCTGACGTTTTCACATGTTGTGAGCTAAAGCATGCTAACTGGTATCAAAGGCCTACTTGTATTTTAACAGTTTAAGAGAACTTTTTAAAATGAATCCGCTCCTCCTTGTCAAGCCTAAGTATCTTAAGGATCAACCTCACCCTCAGGACTCAGTTCACCAGGACTCAGTTGTGGGTTGCAGTATACAACAGTGGACACTAGAGGGAGCCACACAACTTGTCAAAGAGATGTGTAAGGCTAAAACCTAAATTAAAAAATTAAGTCAGTGTGCCTTGGCAGCACAATGCAGCACAATAAAACAGCCACTGCTGCTGCGCCGTGTAATGTTCAGCCACTCACCAGAACAAGCCGGAAAAAGTTTAGAAATTAACTTTTGAAAAGCCAGCCCACCTCCCATCTCAAATCGCCCACATCTCTTTTGTGCACAACCCCTCCAGTTTAAAAGACTAAGCATGAATGGAAGAACAGTGTTTCCCCATGGAAGACAACTAAATCTATGAAAAAATTCACCTGGAGAAAATAAATGGCAAAATTGTGAACCTATAGGAGAGAAAAAATAAGATGGTAAGGCAGTGCACAATTATTTCCTATCTCCAGCAACATTTCTGCAAAATAACTTTTCACTGTTGACTTCAATTTCACCCCCTACAGTAAAGGAACTTAAGGCATGTGCAGGCTGACCAGAAAAATCACGTCCGACGGAATTATGATCCTATTGGTCAAGTTCCAAAGGCCCTGTGTGTAACTGAGTGTAGGAAGACATCTCCCATCAACTCTTTCTCTCAAAATGTCTGAAAAATCTGTAAATGTTTTCAGAGCCATTATAAGCTACAGATGTTATCAACAGTCAGGATTGTGAAGATTTTAAAAGACCTAGTCCACGCATGAGGCTGCTTCAAAAATGGGTTTTTTTAAATATATGCAAGGAAACCAAATTTCCCTTTGAAATGTAAAATGTTCATGTCTTATTCACAGTAAGAAGCAATCAGCTCCACTAGGGTTTTTGTTTAGTGGTCTATTTCCACAGCACATGAAATTGTAAGAAGCCTCCAAAATAAGTCAGAAATAAAAGGACAAGAGACAGAACTTCACAAACAAGTCCAGAAAGGACCTCTAAGAAACCCTTACTAATTGAAAGCTAAAATTAAGTAGCTCCATGAGATATGCATGTGGGGAAAAGAAGATTCTGGAATGTGCTTTATTGGGTGACCTGGGGGAAAATCTCATCTGCTAACACTCGTTGGATTCCACGAAGGGAGAAAGAGATTAGGAACCCAGAAAGTGCAGAGCACCTGTGACTGCATTTGAAGCCCTCACTCACCAACTTGGAAAAACCTGAGGTGTCAGCACCAACTGACATGATGGTTACAAGATGGTGCTGGTTGACTGAAAACCCTCCTAAGTGAATTAAAATCCTGACTGCCGGCCCTGGGGGAGACAGGAGGTGTGGGTGAAACTGAGAACTAGCCCCAATTTATACAAGGAGTGAAAGACCCTGACTTACGAGTAATTTTTAATTCTAAAGTTTTCCTACTCTAATTATATCCTCATTATAATGATGGCCCTTCTTCCTTCAAGGGACTCAAGCTTGCTTCTGGAACATTCTCCGTGGAAGTCTTCTCATTTGCTTGAAAGTGAGAGTTGGTGAATCTCAGAGTGAATTGAAGTGACAGGTTTGGCATCTGATTCCCAGCTCGGCTTCCTCTGACCAGACCACACTCATTCCCAGCTCTTGAACTAAGTCCCGGTGGAATTCTCCAGGAGGAAGCCATCTCCCCAATTAGGCAAAAGCATCCTCCTCCCTGCTCACCCACTCCAGCCCCTGAGGTTTCCACATTCCCAGATGCAATCCGTTTTCTTTTTCCTTTCCCAGCCAAGAAACTGTGGAGTCCACAACAAAGGCCGTGGCCTCGTTTGTGAAGTTCGCTGTAAACTCACACCGCTGGTCAGCTCAGTGCCCAGAGAGGCGGACTGGCTTCCCTTTCGTTCCTAACTCAGTGCCACAGGGCAAGTCACTCAAGCACCTCATTAGGATCACAGTCACAGCCCTGCCACGGCCTCCTTCCCCAGTGCCTGTTCACCCCATTAATAGCTGTAAAGATCCAGTAAGCATTCTAGTTGAAAGGCACCACAAAAGCAAAATCTATCACTGTTATCATCAATAAACTCCAAGACACTCTTTCCTGTCACCATCCAAGGTAGATCAGTCACCCACCTCGGTCCATCAGCCCCCTAATGAGCCACCTACAGCCACAGAAATGTCCAAGACCGACACTGACGGGAACTCGAGTTCCAGGAGGGAAAAAGAGCCACTGCTTTAATTTGAGAGTCAGTTTAAACCATCAGAACCTCCCGGGATCACAGCCACCAGGGCACCTGCAGCCTAGAAACGTCCCGGCTCCCACCCTGCCCCCAGGAGGCCTGCTGCTTGAGACCCAACCCCATCCCGGAGCGGGGAATAACGCTGACTGAAAGCAGCTTGGAAGTATAGAGAGAAGTGGGTCTCGCTACTCAAAGAGCATCTCAAGTCCTGCCTTCCTTTGGGACCCACCATGGAGGCCCTGTCCTCTTCCCTTACAAACAGCTCCATTCAAAATTCCCACTGACAAAGTCACCACCGCTCTGTCTGGAAGAACCCAGAATGGAAGACGGGGGCCTGGCCATCAGGGAGGAAATAAATAACAACACGGCCATAGGGCACACACCACACTGCCACCGAAAAGGAGAAAAGCGACACTAGAACGTCATCTGTGAGATGCTGCTTTTTACGTGGGTGTGTTTTCCTCCAAAGAAGACAGGGATGGGACCCTTGTTGGTCATAGCAAACGTTGGGGGGTCTGGAATTTTCACCCATGGGCATACATTACCTGTTCAAAATATTGCTTGCAACTAACTAATCTTCAGCCAAACACAGGAAACTGACCTTAGAAGTGTAGGGGGTCTGATCTAGTTGCAGAAGGGAAGCCCTTAGTCTTGGAGAGATTCTCATTGCTAAACAGGTGGCGATCTTTCTGAGCAAGACAGATGGCAAAGTCGGCTTCATTCAGGAAGGAAATGCAGAAAAAGATGCGAGCAGCCAGGTCTTGCTCCCTCCTTCCTTCTTGGCGGAAGCCTCACAGAAACAGCATCCGCCAATATGGGAGTTCATCTGTACCAGATACCGACGTTGGGAATCGCCAGAGCAAAGGGCACTGTACTTGGTCCCACTCACCATCCCGAAGTCCTACCTGCTGAAGCTGAATCTGGAGCCAGATGTTGATGCGCTGGTCCAAGGTCCCAGGGGCCTTCACCTCCCACAGGCGCCCCCGCTGCTCGGGACAGGCCAACAGGAAGTGCCTGCAGACTGAGGGGAGACCGCGCATGCGTCAGGAAGACCCCGCATCACCCCGCCCAGCTCTCTCTGGTGTCTCGACCGATCGTGGCCCTCGTCCAGCTCCTCCTGCCATGGCCCTTCACCCCCGGCAAGCTGCTCTGATCTCTGCTGCACTCGGCACTTGCTCACCAGCGTCCCCTGGACACTGAAGCCTTACCCACCCAGCAAGCTGTGCTCTCATTTCCATCCATCCCGTGCGCATTTCATTTCAAAGATACAATCCCCTTTGATATCCGACAGGGGAGATTCCAGAACCCGATGAAGGCACGCAAATCTGAGCAGGCCACACTCGTGTGTGATGGCAGGTATAATTAGGAACACCCTCCTATACATTTAAATCAACTCTAGACGAGCTTCAGTCCCCTTACACAATGTAAATGCTGTATAAATAGTGGTGACACTATGCTGTTAACAGAACAACGGCAAGGGGAAAGTCTGTATGTGTTCGGTAAAGACATATTTTTTTCCAAATGTTTTCAATCCATGCCTGGTTGAATCCATGAATTTAGAAGGTACAGATATGGAAGGTCCACTTTATCATGGACCAGGTGGCTTAAACAACAAAATTTTCTCACAGTTTCAAAGCTAGATGTCACGGGTTGGGAGTGGGCAGTCTTGGATGCCAGTGCCTGACTACAGGTAAATGGGCAGCTGCTCTGGCCCTGCAGGGGTCTGTGGGGTCCTCATTAAGACCTCTTCTAGTTTTTGTAGGGTACAAGACAAAAGCAAAGGCAGAAGCCTATAGAACGCGATGCTAACCATTTCAAAGTGTGCCCTCCTCCTTGCCTGGCAAATACAACTTATTAACAACAGAGAAAGCCAGTGTCCAACTTAAAATTCTCGGACTCCTGCGGTTCTCCATCAGAAAGTGGCTACACAGGAGAGCTGGCTTCTCCCCGACCCTGTTCCCTCCCCTCCTCAAGGGGGCGCTGCACACAGAGGGGAAGGCTGACCCACCCTCCATCTGCAGCCACCAATAGCTGCCCAGGGCCCTAACAGTGTGCAGATGGGTGCCATGTCTGCCCCACGAGCACAGGCACAGGGACGAGGTGCAGTCAGCCCCAGACAGCCACTGGTGGGAATCTGCGGTTCTGCCACCCTGAGTTTGGTTCAGAAGGAGCAGGGAGGGCTCAGAGGGCACATCTCCTGGGCCTGGTGTCCTTGTCCCCTGCAGGGAGATGCAGACGGAAAAGGGCTGCAAGCACAGGAAACAGCACAAAAGAAGGAGAAGACTACCAAATAAAAGCCTGCCTGGGAGGGTGGGTGGCTGAACCCCCATGAGACCAACTGTGATTCACAATCAGCACCTTCAGCTCTTTCTCTGCAGAGGGAGACAAAGGAAGGGCAGCTGTTCCCTGGAGAACAGGATCCTAGGCCCCCACTTTCAAGACAACTGAGAGCTCAAAGTGGCCTGAACTGGGAGGTCAACCTGCTCCAACAGAGGTCTCAGAATTGACAGGAGAATGAGAGGCTGGCAGGATGCGGGTATCCAGAGGACCTGCTGCCAGGCCACCGGGCCTGCCCTGCACCTGACAGTGAGCTCCCCACACAGGAAGCCTGGGGCACGCACTAGAGAAATCCAAGGCTCTCGAGTTTAATAATAGCCTGAGGGTTTGAAAAATACAAAGGAATAACTAAACCCACTTAAGGGAAAGTGTGTTTTTCACCTGCTTTTCTTTGCAACTTCAGAGCAACAGAATTTTCCTTGCTGTTCCTAACTTTCCCCTCCTATCCATTGTTCTTGCCATACCAGAAGGACCCTGGAAACTAAAGAGTAAAGATGTGAAAACATTTGTGTGAAAGGAGAGAGGCAGGGCCCAGAGAGGGGTGGGTGTGCTTCATGGGAAGCAGGGGGCCCAGAGAGGTGCTCTCAGCCTTGTCCACCCTTATTGATTTAGTGTGATGTTTAGCAGCTGAGTTTTTTATCTTGCTCTGGCAAATATGTACAAAGAATGTAAAGAACTTAGCAAGGGATCCAACAGGGTGATCATAGAGGAAGGAGAGTGAAAGAAAGCATCAGAGGTGATGGAAGCTTCCACTCTCTCCTGCCTGCCTTCCCCAAGCTCCTGGGCTCTCCTGCAGCTTCTATTTCAAAGGACAAAGTGATATACTCTAAGCTTCAAATGAAACAGTGGGAGGGTCCCAAGGCAGTTCTCTGGAATCTCCTCCTGCCTGAGGTTGCTGCTTTGTTTCTGATTATAAACACTCCTCAGCCTCAATAAACCCACTGCAAATTCATAGCTTGACAGTGCACGTAAGACAAATGTGGGATGGCTCATGTCATTCACTGAACATCCATTTTCAAAAGAGAACTGGCAACACGGTCTACTGGAGAGTCACGGGTGTTTGCCCTGGTGATGCCATGGTGGGCGGCGTCCCGGGGCCCACAGCTGTGCCCAGCATCTCCAGAAATGGAATGGGACCATATATCCCAAGCCCAGGAAAAGATCAGAATTCAAAATTTGCAGTACACTTTCTACTGATTATGTACTGCTCTCACACCTTCATAAAGTTAAAAAAACAAAACTCCTTAGCCATCATGAGTTAAGGGAACCACTAACATTTTCAGATCCGATTATGTCTCAGGTTGAGAAAGGTTCATTTCCTGAGGTCCAGCACAAGGTTCTGTGCTGAAGCCACGAGAGGCTTCTTAGAAGGAAAGAAAAACTGAGGGCTGCATGTGCCTGGGGCTCCCAGGAGATTCCCACCCCAGAATTGCCTGGAAAACACATGTCTCTTCATCGCCATCACCCAAATGCTCACACACAACACAAGGTGAGGTTACCCTGGAACATGGCAGGAGAAATTGGAGAGCTGACTCCCAAGGCCTCGTCTCTGGGGAAGGTGTCACAGAAGTCCCTCAGCATGGCTGTTCCCAGGCCTTGGCGGCGGTGTGCCCTTCTGACGAACACAGTATCGAAGACAGGCAACAGATAGCAGGCACCGGTGCTCTTGCTACACAGACTTCCTACAGGGAAAGCAAGACTCACACACCATTTCTTGGATTGGTTGGGGACCCACTAGGGTCCTGTGGGGTCCCTGCTCAGCCAGGGTCATTGGTCCCACCGGAGGTAGATTTAGCTTCACAAGACAAACAATCGACACTAAAGTAGCAGATCATTGCAAGCCACCAGTTTGCTAGTTGACCAATCTGTTTTCCTGTAAGACTTGTGTTATTAATTGCTACAGGGCAGCCACTGGACCACTGGACCACTGGACCAAAATGAGAAGGAAACCTGGAAGACTGAGCATAGCAATGTAGCTCATGTATCCAACCTCAAGACCTCACCTTTCAGCCAATGAAGATTATCTTGGAAACATCAAAATTCTCCCTGCAAGAATGAATCCTAAAGCCAGAGAACAAGGGCTGGGAGACCAACCCATCCCAACTCCAGGACATGGACTTGTATCAGTAACTCCAACATGGGCTCACAGTGCCCAATTAGGGCAAAAGGCATGTACCCCAAACAGACATAGCACCAGGTCCTGCTCCCAAAGAAACATTGATAATCCTGCTGCAGCACAGCAAGAGAAGCTCCAGTTGGCCCCATCCCCCATTTTTTCCTTGAATTTAATTTTACTGCAACCAATGCTGACACCAGCACGGCTGCCATTTCTGCAATGAGAAGGTGACCTCAAAGCCAGTCACTTGTGGCAAAGACACGCAACCACTGTGGTGAAGTGTTTGCATACATGGCCAAAGTTATTTCCCTTCCTGTCTCCCTACCCTCGTGATTCTGAACCTCATCCCTTCAAGAAACAGAGTCTGCCTACCCTCCACTTCAATACAGGTTGGCATGTGATTCACTCTGAGCCACAGAATGAAGCAGAGTAACAACTCACCAGTTCTGAGCCTGGGCTTCATGGATCCAGTATCCCTCTAATGTCTCTGAGATAACCTACAAACCACCAAAGGAACAAGTCCAGACCAGCCTGATACCATGAAAGCAAAGTGGTTGGAACAGCCTTGTGGTCCCAGCCAACCTATAGCCAGCCCTAAGCAACAGGCCCAACTAGCCATCACTGTGGACACACAGGCAACATTAGAAAACCATCCAGCTGGCCCCCGCCTAAGTGCCAACCAAAAGAGTTGTTAGTTAAATGAACAGTTGTTACCTTATGCTGAAAATGAGTAAATAAACAATATATGTCCAACAAGGAAACAATTCACTTGAGATAGTAATTGTAAAATATTTGGGATTTTTGGCCTCATTGTGCTTGATAGTATCAACTTGATTGAAATTTCCATAACTTTAACTTGTAGATGCTGAGAACAAGGTTCCCCTAATGTGAAGTCTTCCAAAGTTAAGAATGTTTAGATTTAAATTAAGATGCAATTCTATTCAACATGGCACTAAGAAGAAGTAAATATTCAGGAATATATTTAACAAGAGAAGTGCAAGCCTGAAATACTGAAAACCACAGATTATGTGGAACAAATTAAAGTTCTAAGTAAATACAGAAAAATTCTATGTTAGTCAATCGGATAACTCAAAACTGTTGACAATTCTTCACAAGTTGATCTGTAAGTCAACGCCAGCTCTATCAGAACCCCAGCAGGCTTTTTGGTAGCAATGTATAAGCTGATACTAAAATTTATATGAAGTGTAAAGTCTCTGAAATAATCAAAACAGTTTGGAAAAAGAAGAGCACAGTTGGATATCTTGTGCTACTCAGTTTCAAGACTTCATCAAGTATCAAGTTGAGTATCAAGTGTGATACTGGCACCTAGATACTCAAATAGACAGATGGAACAGAACTGAGAGTCTAGAAATAAACTCTTACACTTAGGTTTTCAACAAAGGTGCCAAGACAATTCAGTGGGGTAAGAATGATCTTTTCCATCAGTGGTGCTGAAAAACTGGACATCCATATGGAAAATAATGAATCTAGAGGTAGACTTTACACTCTTCACAATAATCATCATGAAACACATCATAGACCCAAATGTAAATGCAAAACCATAAAACTCCCAAAAGATAACATAGGGGAAAATCTAAATGAGCTCAAGTATGGCAATAACTTTTTAAATAGAACACCAAAGGCATGATCCATGAAAGAAAAAATTGGTAAGTTGGAATTGATTAAAATATAAACTTTCTGCTCCGTGAAAGACACCATCCAAAGAACGAGAAAACCAACCACAGATGAGGAGAAAATATCTGCCAAAGATATGTCTGATAAAAAGAGACTGTTAGCCAAAATATATAAAGAATTCTTAAAATTCAATCAGAAAACCAAGAACCTGATCATAAAATGGGCAGAAAATACGAAAAGATGCCTCACCAAGAAGATATACAGATGACAAATAAGCACATAGAATGATCATTAGGCAACTGTGAATTAAAACAGTGAGAGGCGACCGCACACTTACTACAACAGCCAAATCCAAAGCATGGACAACACCAAAAGCTGGGAAGGACACAGAGCAACAGGAATTCTCATTCATTGCTAATGAAAGCACAAAATGGTACGGCTACTTTGCAAGGCAGCACAGCAGTTTCTTAACAAAACTAAATATACTTTCATCACATGATCCACCAATCATATTCCCTCGTATTTACCCCAAATAGTTGATCATTTATGTTCACACAAAAACCTGCATGCAAATGTTGACAGCAAAGTTCTTCACAATTGCCAGATTGTGAAAGCAACCAAGAGGTCCCTCAGTAGGTAAATAAATGAGCAACCTGTGAGACACCCAGACAATGGAATGTTATTCGGCATTTTAAAAAATGAGCTATTAAGCAATGAAAAGACACAGAGAAATTTTAAAGGCATTTTACTAAGTGAAAGAAGTCCATCTGAACAGGCACCATTTCAATGCCCAACATCCCAGTGTCCCATCAAGTCCGTGACATCCTGGAAAAGGAAAAGCTAAGGTTGCAATTTCTCAAAATGGTTATGTAGGTGGAGGTGGGGTGAGTCCATGGCACAGAGAGGAATTTTAGGGCAGAGAAACTACCTAGTACAATACTACATGTCATGAGACATTTGTGAAACCCACAAAATACACAACGTAAGAGTGAACCTAATGTAAACTATAGATTTTAGATAATAATAATGTGATTTTATAGGCTGAATTGTGTCTCCCTAACACTCACATGCTTAAGTTCAAACCCCCAGAATCTCAGAATATATGTTAGGACAGAACACTTTACCTAACGAGACCATTAGGGTGGGCCTTGATCCACTGTCAGTGGTGTCCTTGGAGAAAGAGGAAATTTGGGCACCAAGAAACACTCTGCATGTACAAGAAGAAAACAGAATGAGAAGGTGGCGACACAAACCAAGGAGCTAAGCTGTGGAAGAAATCAAATGTAATGGCACAGTAATCTTTGAATTCCAGCCTCCAGAACTAAGAGAAAAATCAAGTTTTGTTGTTTAAACCACCAGGCTGCGGTATTTTATCATGAGATTCCTAACAGATAGAAAGAAGATTGATAGACAGACAGATAGACAGACAGATATCAATATTGGTTCATAGATTATAAATTTGCCACAACTAATATCATAAGTTAATAATAGAGGAAACAGGGACCTATATTATCCTCAATTTTTCTGTAAACCTAAAACTGCTCTAAAAATGATGCCAATTACCGCTTTAAAATATATCACAGGTTGAGGATATTGGATGCTTGCCTAGCATGTGTAAGATCCTGGGTTTGATCTCATCACAAAAACAAAAGAAAGTTACTTTTAAAATGTATCAGGTGAGTAGACTAGCAGAAAAGAGGAAGAGAATATGGGGAAGGGAAGAAGGAAGGGCTTGGGGTATAACAGAGAGGTGGAAGACTTAAGTATATAGTCTGCAGATATGAATATGGCAAAAGAAAACTCTATGCTATGTAATATGCACTAATAAAAACACACATAGAAAAATCAAAGCAAAAATAAGTATTAAGTGGTTCTTAAAATCAAGTTGGGCCCTTATCTCACATCTTTTGTAATAGATGCAATGCAGAAATTAATTCAAGATGGCTCTTAGACATAAATGCAAAGACTAAAACAATAAAGCTTCTGGGGGAAAAAATAAACAAATCTTAAAATCTTTGGGTTAGACAAAAAATTCTTAGATTCAACACCAAAAGCACATTCAATTGATGAATCTAACTTCAACAAAAATTTTTAACTTTTTCTTCAAAAGATGTAATTAAGAAAGCAAAAGCCAACCCATAGACCTCATGAAAATGTTTGCAAATCACATTTCTGATAAAATACTTACAATCAGAAGAAAGAACTCTTACCATAAGAAGAAAATAACCTGATTAAAAGTGCAAAGAAAACTTGAACAGACATTTCCTCAAAGACATTCACATGGGTAATTATTAATAAAAAGTTATTCAACATAATTCACCATTTGGGAAATGCAAGCTAAAACCACAATGAAATGCCACTTTGGGCTACTAGAGTGGCTAGAATAAAAAAGACAAGCAATACTAAGTTTTTGTCAAGCACATGGAGAAATCAGAACCTTCAAATAGTGCTGATAGAAATGTATAATGCTATTGCTGTGAAGCCGTGTGGTGATTCCTTAAAGTATTAAATGTAAGATCATCAAAAGACCCAGCAATCCTACTCCTAGGAACCTACTTGAGAAAATTAAACACATAGTACCATACAAAGGCGGGTGAGAGACTATTTATAGCCGCATTATTCATAATGGTCAAAAACTGGAAAACAATCCATCAAATGATAAATGCATAAGCCAAATACAGTTTGTTCACACAATAAAATATTATTCAACAATAAAAAGGAACAAAACACTAACACATGCTCCATTTTGTAGACCATTAAAAGCACCACAGTAAGTGGAAGAAGCCAAATCAAAAGACTAGATATATCATTCCATTTGGGTGAAATGTGCAGGAAAAAGCAAAAGGCACATCAGTGCTTGCCTAGGACTCAGATGGAAACAGACTGATATCAGACAACACCAATCAGGGTAATGGTAATGTCCTGGTATAT